ACTCTGCAAGTGCACACCACCCATGAACTAAACACACCTGCTGCACATTGTACTCACAATACCTTACTTCGCTTTTTAGACTCAGCACTCACAGTTACTGTAGTACTCTAATATATATCCGGTTCACACATTATGTAGACTTCATGAGTACTATTACTCTACAATCAAAAACGAATGTGGTTAACAAGGAATGTAATTTTAATTCATGGGAGGAGGTCAACGGAGGAAGTACTGGTGGTGAACGTATTGTGACAAATTAATACCTTTCTTGCTTTATGTACACCCATTAACTGCTACAGAAATATTTTGAGGGCTTAGTTAAGTAAGGGTTCTCGCTTAGCTGTTCGAGAATCATTTTGATTTGTCCAGTGCTGTACCTGCAGGTGTTCTTTCACCGACCCACTGAAATGTTTTGCACTGTACGAATGTAGATATATTTATCTTTACTCAGCACTGAGATGTAGTTGCAATGATGAATCAGTACTAAGTGATTGTCGGTGGGAAGAATGGACCTGCACAATTGACACATCCCACAGTGCATGCTATACCAGAAGGACACGACGTGAAGATGGATACATCAAGCAAGACGAAGGCTGTGTGAATACAGCCTGGAATCCAACATTCTGTGGCCGTGCCTCAGAGACTCAGGCTGTGTTGTGCTGTAATGACAGTGACATGTGCAATCAGTATTTCACGCCTACTTTTCTCCCTCGAGCAATTGTCACATCAACTAAAGCACCGCAGTCAATATCCAATATCCATACTTTTTCTTTAGTCAGAGATACTGTCACACTAAGAGTTAGCTCTACCATCTTGGAGCTCTCTACATCTCATGCACTCTCTACACTCCTGAGTACCACCACTGAAGGAACATTCTCGGTTTCGTCTGCACCAACAAAGACACCCTCTCCCACATCTCAGCCTGGTTTGAATTATAGACCAAGTTGTAGTCAAATTCGTTTTTGGCATGCATGCATCAATTCCAAATTTAAAGCTCTGCACCTTAATTTGGCTAAGTTAAGTATTCTATCTCACAAATTACAGCTGTGGCACCAACCATGTTGCATCCAATTGTCACAACAGTTGGACTTCATAAAATCTGTGTATCTTTACTTTACCTGACCTTACCATTAGTGGACTATTTGTTTGAAAGTTGTTTTTATCTTTGCAGGTTTTTACTCTGCTATTGAACCAGTAATTGGGGGAATATGTTGTTCCTGTGTTTTTGTCAGTGGCTCATCTGCAATAGGGTGTTCTCTGAAACTCTACTCTGATGAACACACACTGCTGGTCTTCAACATTTCTCGGGGAACATATGATAATGTAGCAGTTTTAAAATGCTTTACGATGCAACAAACAGGGGTATTTGGAGCATTTCTGCATGAAATACAAGAGGATGGATCTGAAGGGCCTTCTATGTTGCACCTTCAAGATGTAAAGCTTGAAATCAGACCAATCTGTGGCAACACCAAGACTGAGAGTGGTAACAACACCATTTCTTGATATTAGTATTGATCATAATTTGGTATATTATGCAGCTTCAAAATCCAGAGTAATGACTGGACTTTCAGTTGCACTGAGTCTAGCACTGGTTATTCTCCTACTGACTACTCTGATCACGTGCTTCTTGTTGGTTACAAACCAGAGGGCCAGACACAAGAGAAATAGCACAATCACACAAAGTGGTATATATAGCTACACTATAATTCTGTGACTTTAATGTTAATCAGTGTTCTTTACAAAACAGATCTCCAAGCAGTTTCACCCTCGTGTCTTGCAAACTGTTGAAGATGAGAAACTAGAAACGCAAGCAGTTGTCAAAACAGTGAAGCTGTAAAGAAGAGAAGAAAGTATTATAGTAGTCTGTTTGCAGACAACACAAACCATAGTGTATACCCAATGAACTCTGTTACCCTAGGAATTTATTGCTGTTTCATGTAACTGCTGACTTTGTTGAAATTCACATGTCCTACGTTTCCTAGTCAACCGAGTTTGTTTCAAGTAACTGACCATGTTGTCAGCTTATATCTGGACCTCTCACATGCTGCAAGCAAGCTCTGTTCCATTATTATATAGCACACACTACCTGGGAGGAATCACATAATACTTTTTCAGCCTTCACCTATTATTAATTAGCTATTGGTGCCATCACTGTTAGCAAATCAACATGTATAGCTATCACAATGACTCTTTGGCAGCAACTAATCAATTAATGACCAAGAAGGTGTCGCGGTAGCTCGTTTAAATTGAGAATTTTTTCACTCTAAGATGAAAGAAAGAGTTGATGGTAGAAATTTTTACCAAACACCTAGGATGTTTAGCTATGGCTTGAAGCCGAAAGGTATGAATAAGGTTTAACACCATTATATAATAGTTAGTAAAAAAGATGATGATGATTTGCTTATCTCCTAAAAAGCTGGTTTGCGGGTCATTGAGGTGCACCAGAGAGCTAAGCTCCCATTGAGCCCGCTTGCTTACACTGGTTTAGCTGTAGCTACTTGGTCTATACTCTCCTCTGCAACCCTACTCTCTGTCATGACAGAATTTTCTATCCACACAGTTGCTACACTAGTCGAAAATTAATCTTCAGTGAAGTGTTTCGACTGCACTACAGTTCCCTTCAAAATGTACAAAGATGGGCACGAGATTGCGAATGTGGCAGTAGCTAGCTATGTGACAGCTAAAACAAACTGTTACTTAAAATGAAAACTTCATTGTATTCTTGCACTGGGCCCTATTGTGTTCTATCTTTAGATATACCCCTTATGAGCCGACACATCCCTAAAGGCATGAGAGAAGAAGTAACTAGGAAAAGCAAGAAGCAAAAATGAAACTGAAGCAACATGGTAGCTAGGCTTATGGGTCACAAAAGCTAAAGTAAAAAGTAGCTACATAAAAACAGGAAACAGCATGAACCTTTAATTAGGAAGAATTCAGCAAACAGTGGTATAGAAGTGAATTGGTCCCCTTTCTCTAAAAAATTAGTTTCCATGTGCCATCACTCGTGGGCGTCAAATTTTGGTTGGTTAATTGGCGAGCTAAGCGAGCCTACCTAGTGGTCTCAACGGGCGGATGTGCCACTTTCTATCCGGCGATACCTATTCGCTTCTACAAGAATATTGTACTCGGCGCCGTGACTGACCGTCCCTAACGCGCTAATCACGCGCGAAATAACTGTTCGCACCGCGGTTAAAATGATGGGCGCGAACTTATCGCGCTCGCTCGCCAAACAGGCATTCCTCTAGTAATTTTTGAAGGCCGACCCCACAGCAAAAATTTCGGATTGTGCCGTCGGCGGCCAGACGTCGGTCTCTGCCCGCACTGTTTTCCACGTTCGCCCGAATCCCGTGGAATGTCTATATAGCGAAGAGCAAAATACAGATGAAGATGGTCATAATTTGAACATAATAATCATTTCAACAGCGCTCGGTATAACTTATCCTGCATGGCACCCAGGTTCTTATAACTGTCTCTAACTTGAGTACAGAAAAACATGCTCAAGCACACTTGGCAGTCGTTTTACCATTGCTGCACCCACAAGTATGTGTGTAATTCACATTCACATAATATGAATTGTTGTAGATCGTATCTTCGAACATGGCCTAAAGTGTATTTATACCATCTGATATGTAGTACGACTAAACATTCTAAAGACACTACATTACCTCATAGACATCATATCTGTATCAGAGCGTCGGTAGACGCTCTATATAGGGATGACACGAGTGAAATCTCACGTGATCCGCGTACAAAACGCCTCAAAACTCAGCGAGAATGACTCACCATGGCTTCAAAATCACTAGCAATAGTCTAGAGGCCAATACCTAGCTATACATATGCCCAAAGACTGCCTACGTGCCCTCAGTTCCCACCAGAGAATTCGCTCTTACGCGATTTCGCGATTTTCGTGTCA